TGACTACTTCCTTGCGTACGGATGACAGCTGCGTATGACTTAGAATATTTTCTGGTGCTTTCACTTCCTGAGACAGTCGCAAGCACTGTGTAATTGCCTCGAGGGTGCTTGACCATTTTAACACAACGTGGTGCGATCATCCCCCTTGCGCGGAGTGACAGTTCTCGACCCCTAACAACATGATCTACTCGACCACCATTATGGTTACCGCCAAAAAAAAAAACAGAGGCAATAATAAAAAACGGAAACCTGGTTGCCGAGTTCACTAAGTGACTTGGCTTGTTTTACAACGTCTTTGCCAAGCGACGAAAACCCAACCCCGATGGCAAACACCGAGGGGGGGGGTGTACTCATAGTCGTGCATGCCGTAGTCGTTAGACCATTGACCTCGCATCCCTACAAAGCCGGGACGGAGCACGCCGGGTTCTCACCGGACCAGGCTCTCACATCCCCAAGCGCGAAGCGCCGTGAGATATTCGGCGAGTCGCATGAAGGGTGCGCTGCATCCTGCTAAGGGTGTTCGGCATCTTGTCATTACTTCCTTGCGTACGGACGACAGCTGCGTATGAATGAATATATTTTCTGCTGCTTTCACTTCCAGAGACAGTTGTAAGCACTGTGTAACTGCCTCGAGGGTGCTTGACCATTTTAACACCACGTGGTGCGATCATCCCCCTTGCGCGGAGCGGGTTCTCGACCCCGCACAACATGATCTACTCGACCACCATTATGGTTACCGCCAAAAAAAAAAACAGAGGCAATAATAAAAAACGGAAACCTGGTTGCCGAGTTCACTAAGTGACTTGGCTTGTTTTACAACGTCGTTGCCAAGGGACGAAAACCCAACCCCGATGGCAAACACCGGGGGGGAGGATAGGGAGGCGCGGGTATTCGCGTATCCGTTGTTTTGCATTTCCTCTCCACGACGAACGTCATTCTCACCTCTACGTGTACAGTACCCAGAGTCAAGTCTTCTGGGCTCTTCTTTAAGAAACCGAAGCGCTTGCGATTGGCCACGTACGAGGTTGAGCAGCGGTCCACCTCTTGCTCGCAGTAGCCTACAACCTACAACCTACAACCTGAGCCCCAAGACACTCTCATCATCCCAAACCACGACAACACAGCAACGTAGCTCCCTCTGCTCGTCACCACCACTCGCAGACGAAGGCCTGCTTCGCTACATACGAGGTGTGGGTTGAGAGAAGACCAACCGAAGCGCACGCGTTCGACGTCAACCCCACGACACTCGTAAGGGCAGGCAGGAGGAGGGCGTGCATGAGGAAATAAAGGCCCTGCATACGCGGGCAGGTGACGGGGACGGCACGTGGGGAAAAAGGCTAACGAAAACAGCAGAAAGGAGCTTTGAGTGTCGAAAAATGTGCTCCCCCGTGACCGCTAATTGTCTCCCGCGGTGCCCGGCAACTACAAGCCAAAAGCAACAGATTCCTCGAGCGGAGCGGGTGGAGGTACGCGGGGCGTGAGCAAGCGAAGGAAATTCGGAAGAGTCAAAAACACCTTGTGCAGCAGTCAAGTGGCGCCCACAAAAAGGACCCAAAAACAATAACAACACCCGCACAGACCACCTAAAATAGCTCAACGCATGAGCGCAAGAAAAAACTTCGGGACAGACAGAAAAAAAACACAAGAAAGTGAAACGCAAAACGTTGTCGGGGTACGCACCCCTCCGCCGCCGCTGGTCTCCATGGTGGCAATCGAGTCGAAGATTTCTCCGCAGATGACCCCTTCCTCAGAAGGCTTGCGGTGGAAGTAGAGGCAGTCGAGGAAGAACCTCCAGTGCGACAGCAGCCCGCTGTCGACAGATAGCGCACAGCGGGTGTAGACAGCAACCACAACAAATTTTAGCGGCAGCAGCAGCAGCAGCAGCAGCAGAACGCACCCGTGGGGACAGATAAGTGGCCGGGTCCGACTGGCACGGCGATCGAAGGTCAACTCTACTTCGGCGAGGGGGGCAAAAGCACAGAAGCAAACCAGACTCAACTTAAACGTCCAGCAGTTGAAACTCAATGCTGTGGCCAGCATTTGTGACTACATGCTATGAAGGTACCGACACATCCCCTCTGTGTGATTCATCCCTCAACGGGAAAAGGTTTCTGTGATGTCATCGATACTTCCAACAGTACAAGCACCGCGCTGGATGGAGTTTGCTGGTTGCTGACGCTGGCCACCAATCAAGCAGCGAACAGTAGCGGCACTGAAACCAACACCAACTTCCGTCACACCCTGCCACTAGAATCGACAGTCCTCCCCGCCGGTGCGTTTCGCTCTGCCGGAGGCCCGAGACAATGGGGTGACAAACCTCCCGCGAGGCACCAACACAGCACGGGCAATCGATGGTTCCACGAGAGGGGAAAACACACACGCACAATCAGACACACACGCATACAAGGCAACGTCCTTATAATTGCCCTCCTAATTCACTTTCTAGAAGGTCAGGAGGAAATAGGAGCTGCAAATCCGGCGGAAGCTCACCACCCCCGGCCAAGTGACGGAAGCAGTGGCGGCGGTGACATCCGCACTGCACTCACTGCTTCTCCGCTCCTGTTGGGGGCACAAGCGGGCAGATATAGGACCTCCCGTAGAGCACCAACGCCCGCACCACCGGTCGGACTTGCGACATCGCTCCCACCACGGCTTCCGCACCCCGCACCCCGCCGCCGCCGGAGCTTCGATTTCGCTGCGATGCGGTATGTACCGTACCGGACGACGGTTCGCCCGAGAACCACGGGACGACGAGGTGGGCCGCGGGCAGGCGTCCGGACAACCAAAAGGGTTAGAGGCGCGGATCCATTTAGGGGGCACTCATACGTGACAGGAGCTTCGGTTGGCTCGATGGAGCGGAGACGAGAAGCACCACCCAAGGTTTCGTTTGCCCCGCCCCCCGCCCCCCCGCCCCCCCGGGTGTTTGCCATCGGGGTCGGGTTTTCGTCGCTTGGCAAGGACGTTGTAGAACAAGCCCCCCCCCTCGGTGTTTGCCATCGGGATTGGGTTTTCGTGGCTTGGCAACGACGTCGTAGAACAAGTCAATTCACTTCGTGAACTCGGGCAACCAGGTTACCGTTTTTTTTTTACCTCCGGTTTTTTTTTGGCGGTAACCATAATGGTGGTCGAGTAGATCATGTTGTGCGGGGTCGAGAACCCTCGCTCCGCGCAAGGGGGATGATCGCACCACGTTGTGTTGAAATGGTCAAGCAC